CCATAGTATATATATAGATAGAGATGATGATCTAGTATTGCAATTGAGTTCCTGAGCTGTCAGCACAGAGCCTGATGGTGGGCTTGAACCTATGAGCTGGAAGATCATGACCCGAGCTGAAGTTGATGCTTAACTGACTGAGCCGCCTCTTCAGTAGAATTTTTTTTTTTTTTTTGAATTTTCAGTGTCTATGAAGTTTTATAAATACTTAAAAGTGTTTATTAAATTTCAAATATAACTAGTATGTCCTATATATCTCCTCTCCTCTCCTTCAGGATAATGTATTTCTTTTTGAGCTTTTAAGATGCCAAACTTTTATCTCTTAAACCTCTATATCATAGAATTTGCCTTAAAATTATTCACACACAATCCACCATATGCGTCATCATTACCTGTGTACTGCAATCACAGAAAAAAAAGTCTAGACTCAGGGAACCAGATTAAAATATAAACTCAAAACGCATTGTTACTTGTTGGTATATAAAGAGCTTCATTCCTTGGCCTCGTAATTTCTGTAAGAACAAATTTAAAAGTTCAGATCTTAGGAGCAACTCTCATTTACAGTGAAAACAAAGTCCAACCTCAAAATAGTTAATGTTTTTCAGTACATACATTTCAATAAGATTAATTAGACTTACAGAGTTAGCAGTCCTTGTTGTATTGCTGTTCAGTGTGCAGTTATAACTGCGCGCTAAAATTCAAGGTAAAGAATTTCAAGAACATGATATAATCAACCGAGAGAAAAAAAAATTAAATATATAGAAAATACTTAAATCATTTCACAAATTTAAGTTAAATAATTAAAAGAATCAACAGAATATCAATTCTGCCTCTTTGCACAAAACAACGTCGTTCCACAGCATGGGAGAAAGGGAAGTTTTGCCTCTAAACCATTGTATTATTCACTGAACATTGGAAGCTTAAAGTACCACTACCCTGAAAAAGTCTCGCTGGAGACCTAGTGAAGTTTAAAAATAAGTAAAACGAAATTTAACAATGGAAGGCTGTAATTCTTTATTAGAATTTAGAATTTGTAGATCCCTCTTTTTGATTTAAAACAGGTCATAGTAAGTTGTCCATGTAAGTAAAGAAATAACAAAACAAAAGTTTAAAACCTTATTCCAAAGTGTAAGCGTACTAACTTCATGTCCATGAGACAAAATGGACAGACTGAAAAACATTTTTGCATAATTATACAGTCTATACAGGGCTGCTCAAGTTTTTACATCAATTTAAGTTTTCCACATACTTCATGGTACAGCTTTTTGGTATCAAAAGCCACTGTGCAAGTTCGACTTGACAAAGCATTTATTCTCTTTAATGCTACCCAACAAAATAATTACTGACTCTGGGTAATGCCAAAGGAGCGCCAGATAATTCTGTTCTGTTACTAAGAGTTCCCTTAAAAGTAAGAACAAACAAACAAAAATAGGTTACTCAGAGAGAAGTGAACCCATTTTTGTGCAGCACAGAAAGAGGTAGACGCAGAACTCTGGCTCAGTATCAGCAGTAAATCCTCACGATATTTTTCATACATTTAGCAACCAGTCAGGTTGATTATTGTTCAGATTTATCCGAGTATAAAGTATACAGTGCAGCTTAGATTTTGAATCGAGAACAAAAATCCGATTGAAAAGTGCCACAGAGGGGAAGGTATCCAATGCCAACAGCTTGGTTTTAACTCAGATTAAAAGAGAAGAATTGGGTCTTGTGGAAGTTGCTCAGGAGGTCCTAGCAGGTCAAAATGTACAAGGAGAATGAGGCATGGGATGCATAATTACAAACTCATCTTAGCACCTTCTCTCAAAGGGATCCTCTATATATACAATTAATCCCTGCCACAGGATTTTCTTTTAATAGCTCCTCATTTATAAGATTTCTCACGCCATTATATATATACCCATTTTTTTTTTTTTTTTTTGCTATAAACAAAATTTTTGCTCATATGAAGTTATGTAATAGGCTAAAAGTTCATGGTTAAGGCTTTATATGTCCCTAGCTCAGACTGACATTCTTATAATTGAAATATAGAGTTGATAACTTCCTTTCTGTAAAGTGTCTATGAAATAGCTTCATAAATGCCTGAGGAAAAAAAAGTCAAAAGGCAAATCTGAGTATGGTAAACTATGTGTCTTACAGATTTTAGAATGGACTAGTATATTAGATAGTTTTAGATATCCTGGCTGAAACTCCTTAACTTTGTTTGGAATCTCAATATTTTCCAAAATTATAACCACACAGAATTCTTGATGAGCAATCATAGCCAGGTCGCTACTCTTTCCTCTCTTGAAAACCCTTCCCAAACACCAAAATATAACTGTCCCTGTTCTTCCTAATTCCCAAACATTGAAATATACAGCTTCCATTCTCATACAGCTTCAGTGTGCAAAATAATTTGATAATGCCAGGCTACTTGCCAGCTGAAATGGATTAAATGTGCTAATCTTTTGGGGGGTGTTTATAGTTTAGTGTGTTTTTTTTTAACGTTATTTATTTTTGAGAGAGAC